CTGAGTTTCCAGTATCCAATATATGGCTTCATCAGCCATGGCATGAGGGGGTAGGCTGTGCCCCTCAGGATGCACAGTGGCATTTCAATATACCTGACCCCGATGCTGTGCTCAGAGAAGGAAGTGCCAGCCTCCAGTTTCAGGTAGAGGCTGGAGTTATGAAAGATGCGGCGTCGTGCACCTTCCCCAACCAGCCTATAAAGAAGTCTGTAAACTAGCCACTGTGGTTGACCAGGGCCTACAGGACCATGGAAAAGTATCCCTTGCAGTTAATGTACTGCGATGCCCAGTGGTCAGCGGCCCGGAAGAGGATATGTGTTCCATCAATAGCTCCCCTGCAGTTAGGGAAGCCCAGGATGGCAAATCCGATGACGATGGGGTGCATGTCGCCCAGGCAGATGACCCTGTGCAGCAGGACAGTGTTGATGGCCCTCACCACCTGCAGAAGGAGACAAACAAATAAACAAAACAGAGGATGAAAGGGGGCGTGTGACGGTTTTACTGCATGCAAGCGCCCCCTCCCAATGGGGAAGGGGGTTCAGCGGACCCACCGTCTGTGTCTGACGTACATTTGTCCTGGGGCCTGCTCCCCAGGACGGGATACATGAGTGAATCACCTGGTACTGTGTCGGTGCCAGGGTTCAGCGGACTCACTGCCCCACCCCCGTCAGGGGTCCATGGGTCCCGTAGGGAAGGAGGAATTCCGGGGGCCTGTTCCTAGGGAAGGTCCTCCCCGGAAGGGGGTAAGAGATGCCAAGCATCTGGTTCGCGTTCGTGGTCACCTGGTTCCTCAGGAGTTGCGAGGGGACATATTTACGGGGTAGGTTGAAGCGGCGGGGACAAAGGAGGGGCATGGGGGAACCGGGCCTGCTCTCTCCACTGGGTCCCAGCCCGGGGCCCTAAGTGGGGGATAACCAATGTGTTCCCTCCACGACAGGTGGGGATGATCCCCAAAACTCACCTGCCCACGGGCGCCAAAAACGCTCTGCCCTGGGCTTCTTCCACTCCCTTCTCCCTGCCGAGGGGTCTGCCCAGGCCACTTACCACGCCCAAGTCATTGGCCCCATCCGGCCGGTGTCCTGGGGGCTCCGACATCACTCCTCTTGCCCTCCAGCGGGGCGGGATGCTCGTCCTTCTGGGGGGCATTCGGTGGCTACTCCCTGAGCCTCCCCCAGCTGTCTTACCCGGCTCTGGGCTTCTTCCACTCCCTTCTCCCTGCCGAGGGGTCTGCCCAGGCCACTTACCACGCCCAAGTCATTGGCCCCATCCGGCCGGTGTCCTGGGGGCTCCGACATCACTCCTCTTGCCCTCCAGCGGGGCGGGATGCTCGTCCTTCTGGGGGGCATTCGGTGGCTACTCCCTGAGCCTCCCCCAGCTGTCTTACCCGGCTGCTTTTCCTGGCGGCGCCCCGGCCCCCCCAGCCGCGTCCCCAGCTGGCCCCGCCCTCTTTGCCACGGGGCTGTGCGCATTCCCCCATGCCGGGTCTCAGCCTGACCGGGGCTATTCCGGCCATTCGGGCTGTCTGCCTGCCCTCTCTGTGCTGGGGGCGGGGTTGATCCCACTGGGTCCGTCGCAGGGTGCCTGAGCCCTTGGGAGGTCCCCAAGCCCTCCTCCTTTTTCCCCCCACAAACATCCCAAGAGCTGCCCCCTATGATGCCCGCCTCTCCAGCAGGGCTGTGTGAGGGTGGGACTGCAGAATCCTCTGGGGATGGCCTTCCCTCCACCCCATCCCCTGGACCCTCAATGTTCTCCCTCATTAGGTCCTCCTGGACCCTCCAGCCCTGCCCTGAATTCCCAAACTCCCCTTTCTCTAGGGTCCGCCTTTCCAGTAGTCCCCCTCCCCCTCTCCAGGGACTGCAGCCCGAGAGCACCATACCTGCATGACAAGCGCCCCGACAGTCGACTTCCCCATGCAAAACTGGGTAACTGTCGGGCGTAGCAAGCTTCCAGACAGCAACCCACTTCTCCAAGGGGATGGCAAGTCGCATCTGGGTGTCCCATCGTCTGAGGGTAGGGGTGAGTCAGGCACAGAGCTTCAGGAATGTCACCTTCCTCATGCAGAAGTTTTGGAGCCATTGTCCAGTGTCCCACTGGTGGGACCGGCTAGTGTTGGAGCAGTCAGAACTGGTATCCAGCTTCCAGAAGTGTCGCTCCACTGTGGGGTGCGGTTGCAAGAGCAGTGCTCCTGCACATATGCAGAGGTTCTCAACGATGAGCTTGTGGTCGAGCTCATTCAGGGTCATGAGGGCAGACTGCAGAAACTGTTGCAGAAACTGCAGCACAGCAGTGTGGGACCATCGCATGCCCAGAGGCAGCTCCAGCTCTATAGTAGGGAGTGCTGTGGTTTCCTGAAGCAAGGCAACCAAAAGCATGCAGAAGAAGTGCTTTGCTGTCCCTCAGGGTATGTCTACACTGCCACCCTAGTTTGAACTAGGGTGGCTAATGTAGGCATTCGAACTTGCAAATTAAGCCCGGGATTTAAATATCCTGGGCTTTATTTGCATGTTCCAGGGCGCCGCCATTTTTAAATGCCCTGTAGTTCGAACTACCTGCCCGCAGTTACACGCAGCACGGACTAGGTACTTCGAATTAAAGCTCCTAATTCGAACTATCATTAAACCTCCTTGTAGGGTGATCTCCCACCCCCATGTAGCCAATGGCCTCTGCTTTCCTCTACCATGCTGGAGCGTCCACATTTATTTATGAGGGAAAAATCTTGCAGTTTTGCAGAAGTTTAAAATATTGTGTGCAGAATACTCTCCAGAATAGAGCAGAGAGGAGGTACTTTGGTAATTCCAGCATTTGACTGACAAACATTGGCTGGCACTCAAAAGGTTATTAAGTTTGAAAACACCACTAAAGAGCTTGATGATGCTGTAACTCAGCATGTGCTACTAATACGGGAGAAATTTCAAATATGGGATCATTTTCTCCAGGTTATGTAAATACTACTTCTAAATGTCTGTGCAGGGCAAACTGATTGGAAACTTCAACTACAGATACAGACAACTAAACCATGTAGATACTAATCTACATTATTGACATGTTAAATCTTCCAGAAAAAATACACAGTGCCTTGAATTTGCTGATGATAATGATGTTGACCAAAAATGTCACCAGCGCTATTATATTTTAATGATACCTATATACATTTATTATTAGATTTTGTTGTAACCTTTAGATTGTTTTTGTGATCTTTGAGGTCACAAAAAATCCAATTTTATGTCTTGAAATGTTATGTGAAGTCATTACATTAATAGGAAAGAATACAAATAGGTCAAAATGGTGATTTTATTGTGTTGATGTGTCATCTTTTCCTATGATAATGGCATCACTTTAAAGCTCCAATTCATATCTCATCTTATAGAAGACATAATACACTTTCAAATGAGATATGATGTGTGTGTATATAGAGGGTTGAATTAAGTTGACCAAATTGGTTGTGGTTGCCTCACACCTACATGCATCTTAGCAACTCCTTCCCCCAAGTACATGTCCCTGGGCAGCACTCCTTGTTTGTGCTTTACCCAGGAGGAGTAAGAAAGAGACCTCTTTCCATGGGGCACACAATGGAAGAGAGGAGGGTCCTTCTCTTCTCTGGATGGGTGAGGAGTGCCGGGGCAGCTTGCCTGCATTTTGCAGATAGAAAGTACCTTTTCTGGAGGGGGTTAAGGTGATCTGGACACTCTTCTTTACTGTGGGGTGAAAAGTGTTCTAGGCAGCCTCCCTTGTGAGATGCATAGAGCTTAGCACCCTCTCAAGATGAGATACAGGTTGTTTGGGCAGGACTCCAGTACTGTGGAATGGGGAGTACACTCTTGGGATGAAGCTAGAGGTCTGGACAGTCCCTTGTGTTGTGAGATAGGGAGCAGCCAGTCGCCTTTGGAGATAAGGCAGACAGTCCCTGTGGACAGCCCCCATACTGTGGGATGAGCATCACCCACTGCCCTCTGGGGAGAGGGATCCCCGGGCAGCCTCCTAAGTTGTGGGAAGCGCCCTGTGCCCTCTGAGGATGGGGCGCAGGTCCTGGGGGCAGCCCCTTGTGTTGTGGGGAGCACCCAGATCTTCCGGGGATGGGGGCCTGGGACAGCCCCCTGAGTTGTGGGGTGGGCAGCCCAGCGCCCTCTCGGGCCGGGGTGAGGGGAGACCCAGGAGAGGAGGAGGGTCCCTGGGGGCTGCCCGCGTGTGGGAAGCGCCCTGTGCCCTCTGAGGATGGGGCGCAGGTCCTGGGGGCAGCCCCTTGTGTTGTGGGGAGCACCCAGATCTTCCGGGGATGGGGGCCTGGGACAGCCCCCTGAGTTGTGGGGTGGGCAGCCCAGCGCCCTCTCGGGCCGGGGTGAGGGGAGACCCAGGAGAGGAGGAGGGTCCCTGGGGGCTGCCCGCGGCTCTACGCCGCCTCCTCGCCGGCCTCCTGTCTCCCTCCCTGGCCGTCTGCTGCTCCAGCTCCGGCTCCCGCTGCCATTGG